CACTTTGCTCCTCCGTTTTGTCATTTTTCAAGAAGTAGAGACTACCTGTAGCACAGTCTCACTGTCCTGATTTTGTGTGAGTGGAGGGACAAGGGTCTGAAGATGCCCAGTGCCCAGTGTAGCTCCTGTGCTGAGGAGTTGTGAGAGCCCAGTTGGGCTGACACATTATGGGTGTGGCAGGTAACCACTGAGGCCCCAGAGGGTGTCCAAGGTTTCGCCTGCCAGTGGGTAGAGAGGCAGAGCCCAGACTCACTGGGCTTGCTGAAGATGTTCCATTTTCTGCCAGCCTGGAATGACACACTATGGGTATGCCGGGTAGCCACCAAGGCCCCAGAACGTGCCCCAGGTTTTGCTGCCTTGCACGCAAGTCAGGGAGTCAGAAGCCAGACTCACGGGGCTTTCTGAAGATGTCTGGGGATTCGCCCAGCCTGAAGCGACATACTTTGGTTCGAGAGATGATTTCTGATCTGATTTCTTCTGTGGTCTTATGGAGTTGTTTCTTTACTTCAGTTGTGATCATTTCAGAGATTTCAGGTGTGACATCCCAGTTCTCCTATGTTGCTGTCTCCTGGACTTGTTCTGGTGGGTTGGAGTTTTGAGATTGCATTTTGGTCCTTTGTCTTATTGTGGTTGCTGGAGGTGAAGTACTGGGCCTCACCCTCTGCAGGGAGCTCACCGGGAAAGTCTTTAGGGCCCCTAGATTCACAGGTTGTCAGGATTGCCCCACGATAGCAGCAGGATGTGTCCCACCAAATCCAAAAGCCTCCGGCAGTTTCTGGAGTGCCCAGCTCAATGAGTGCCCTGATGGCTACAGAGCACTGGCCTTCATGACCAGGGTCCCCAGGCAGTTGACTGAGGGCACCCGGGCCTCAGGCTGACCCATGATGTCGGCAGAATGTGTGCTGTTGGATCAGTTTTCGAAGACAGCTCACGGGGCATACCTGTCTCTTCAGAGCCTCTGACAAAGCTGACAATGTCAGAGTGACTGGGAACACCTGTCTGAGTTCCCCAGGCAGTTCCCTAAGAGCTCCTGGGGATTCTGTGGCTTCAGGCATGATCCACAATGCCCATTGAGTGCCCAGCAGCAGTCTAAGTTCCCCTGGTGGCTGGGTAGTGGTGACCCAGGCTAACTTGCACCACAACCTGCAATAACCACGGGGCATGGGGCACGGGGCACCACTTCAAGTGCCTCTGGTGGCCTGGGAATGACACCCTGATCTCAAGCATGACTTACAATGTCCAGAGTGCAACACATCAATCTAAGTTCCTTGGGCGGCTGGCTGATGATGACCCAGACCAAGGCACACCCCACAATGACCACGCAGCATGGGGCACCAGTTTGTGCTCCACTAGAAGCTGGATAATCTGACTTCTGTCTAAGCACATACATGATATGAACCTAGTGGCCCTAGTGACTGGATACATTTGTGAGGGAACTCTTTCCTTCTACTAAAATTTCACATTCTTGAAAATCTTATGTTCTGATGAGAACATTACTGGTGTTTAGCATACTATTCAGGTTCTCAGGTCTCAACCTTGTATTGCTTTTGAGTGCTTTACATTCTTCTGGAAGCCCCTGGTCGCAGAAAGTAATGCAGAACCTCTTATCCTGCACAGGTCCACATGTCTCATTCATCATGGTGCAGTAAAATCAGTTTTTCTTTCATATATGTCCTTCTCACATAAACATGATAAATACCTTTCTCTGCTCTTTCGATTTCTTCTAACTACATATGATACCTGTGATTTCTTCATAACTGACACAGAGTTTCTCAAAATACTTCCATTTTATATCTAGGGGAATACCAGGATTTTGCACTTTATGAATATCTTTCATAAATAGTTTCAGAGGCCACATTCATGTTCCCAGAGGATTTACCTGTAAATTTGAATAACCAGAATGTTTACTTGCTTCTCAGTTAAAGCCCAAGATTGACCTTTCCTGAGTCTTCTAGGTGTATGCAAAGCATGGCTGGATGACATTGTTTCTGGTTTTTCCCAGTGTGTTTTCAATGTTTCATTATGTAATTCAGTTATCCACTCTACTAGTTTTTATATTTATCTTGTATTTACTCCCTTGCTGCTCAAGTGTTATTATCACTACTCACAAAATGGATGGGAACCTGCTTTCACGATCCGACCATGTGGAGATGACTACAAATACTTTCTAGAAATCTAGTCTGTGTTGGGTGAAAGACAAAAAAGAAATCTCCTTCTCCTAGCTTTAGCGTTGTCCTTGTGTTTTATTTTTCATCAAATCCATTAAGAATTTCATACACACTGTGTAGAGAAGAGCTTTCCTAGATACCAAACAGGGGATTTTATTCTTTTCTATTGAGACTTGATGCATGATTAAATTGTAGATTTGAAGGTACAATGTCAATTTCTCTGTACATTTGCTCTGTAATTCTGAAGTATTTTTACTCTGGATTCTGGATGTGAAATTTGCCTACCTCGGAAGGGTATCAATAGGACATAATAGCATATATGCTAGTGGAATTTTGTTCCAATTGGCATAGACTGTGAACTGCGTGGTGCAGCCATGTCCTTCCACTTTTCTTCTTTGCATGGCAGTGGCCTGTCCTTCCCCAAGAGGTGACATGGGCTGGTCATCACAGTCAGAATCCAGCAATTACCTGAGGACCAGTCCCTACTGCACTGTGGATAAGAATGTCTGAGCGCATAAGTGAGAGGGCTGGACAAGCACAGCTTGTTCCTGAAGCCTCTCTGTACCACAAGATATGTGAAGAGGCAGGACCCCAGAGCCACATGGACTGAAAGTCGGGAAAATTCCCAGATGGAAGTACTCGTATCCTTCACCTTCCATGTGAGGAAATTGCTTATTGCTCAGAGTTTACAAAAGGAAGTTCAGGATCACATGGCCATATACTGGTGCATTGCATCTGAAACTTAGGTCCCTGGTTCTGTTCTGGAACCTGGTGGATGGAGCCCGAGCAACCCTGTGTGAGGAGACAAGGGGCAAAGAAGGGATGGGTTGACCCAATGGACAGTAAACACCCCCAGTGGAGAATATAAAAGGTAATTGCTTCAACACTGTACACTATTCCTACACTATATTACAAACTGTACAGAAACATGTTTATACAAATTGCATGCACTTGGAGATCAGCACTGTGGGCAGAATTAATTCATGCTCTTGTTAATCTACTTAAAGAAGTATTCAGGCAACAGTATTTCTTCATTATTCTTTCAAACATCTGGGCATTATATGATGGTATACAAATACAAAATATATGATAGTGTTTCAAATAAAATACATTTCTAAATACACCTGTCTCTTAAATCATAGTGAGTCGTTTCTGCTGGCTCTGTCTATCTCCGGTCAGGTCATTTGTTTTAGGTGAGGTTGCAATTTAGCCCTATCAGCAACAGACTGTAGAAAATAATAACAATCACTATGCAAGTAAACAGTCATCAGGTAACTCATCTCTTCCAACTGAGCAGAATGCACATGGAAGATTGGTCATACACTTAAACATTAACTGTTCTTCCAATAGAGCAATAAAAGTCAGTAGTACCACTATGTTAGCTACCCTGTGTATACATATAGATATATATTTCCCCTTGTGTCTTTACTCTTCTTCCTCATCCCATTTTTTCTTCCCTTTTCTGCAGTTTCCTTTCCTTTTACAGTGTCTATTGTACCTCCTACACTTTATGCACTCTTTAAAGTTCTTACACTTGTGGGTAATACTTCTTTATCTGAGCATCCAAATGGAAGCTAACAGTATCTAGTACAACAACCATTGATAATTTCTTATCATTTGGTCAGAGATTCTGTATGGTTGGGATTGTTTCTGTGTTATTTCCTAAACATATCTGCATCTGTTGAGATGTTTTCCTTCTTTTATCTTGAAAATAAAAACAAAAGAAATGAGAAGTGTATAGGTAAATACGAAAAGAAATCAACATGAGCTTACTTCCTGTTTTACACTTTTCTTTCTCATCTCCCCATCACTGGTCAGTTTTAAGGTAGATCCTCGTGTCCCTTTCCTTTCTTGCCACCATTGTCCCAACTTTGCACACCAACCCGTATCCATCATCGTCTCATTTGTCCTCAGACTTTTCCCACAAGGAATACACCTTCCGCAATTCAGGGATGGTCTTCAGTGCCCCTCCCCCCAGCCCCGAGGACGCCCCAGTGGCCGGCTTTGTGCTGAGAATCCAAACTGCTTGGCAGGCCCAAGGCCAGCTTTCTGACCTCCCAGGACCTTCCTTCCTCAGGGCTCCTGGGAAGGTCTTCTTTGCGCTCTACCCAAGCCAGCTCCCTGCCAAGGCCACCGCCCACGCCATTCCCATTGAAATCCCTACCCCAAATTGTGGGTTCAAGGGCCCCATGCAAACAACAGCTTCCCTCCCAAGCCTGCATGGGCAGCTCCTCCTCGATGCCCAGGGACACTTTTGCTTAAAATAACAGACACAGAGACAAGCACTGGCATTGGTTTAATCACTTTATTGACAAGGCTGATGACAATAGCAAGGCCTCCCCCATCTACGGGGATGTGGAGGGCTGGATGAGACTGTTGATGAGGTGGCACTGCG